TTAAATGCTATAAATTTGTTCTTTTAAAAAATCTATACATACCAAAATGAAAAAATGTCTAATATATACTCAATGAAAATGACAAGATGCAGAATAGTGTAGGAAAGTTAAAAGTCCACTTGCATTTTTAAAAGGAGAAAAAATACATATATACAGACAGAAAAATTCTAGGAAGCTACTCAAAAAACTAGCGAGTATCCTCTAAAGAGTCCAAATGGGATGCAGAGAGAGATGAAAAAAAATTTTTTTTAACTATTTGAATTTTTCTTAACTATCTGAATTTTCCCCCATGTACATGTATAAATCTCACAACTTTTAAAAAATGAATTCGACAAAATATCATCTCAACACTGAACAATAAAGACACACACTTCAAGGCAGTTTTTTTCAAACATTTACTGAACACAAAACACCATTTTTTCTTTTTACACAGCAATAGTTAGTTTCAAATTAGCTGGGCTATTAGGACTATCAATTACTACGAAATTAAAAATGATTCTACATGTCAAACTCAAATAGAAAATGTCATGCAATATATAAATCACTAACAGACCTCTGGTGCAGTCAGCAAGTTTACTATGTTTATTAAAGTCAGGTAAATGGTTTGACAAAAGTGCACAATAGAATGACATCACTGGTTTGTTATAAATCACAGTGAATTACTAGAATACAACAATGTAATTCTTCTATATGGAGGATTGCAGGATGAGGTGAGTGTTATAAAAGATAGGCTCTTTCACCATGTTAAGCCAGTCAGATTTCACTCCTCAGATATGTACGTCTGAAAAGACTGGTTAGCAAAGCTGATTTTTCTCCCTCATCTTTTCTTCTCTACCAATTACTAAGCAACAACAAAAAAGGCCATGCACAAATTTTACAACACCTGATAAAAAACAGATACAAAACCTTGTTCATCACTTAGCAAAGCTTGTATCTTCGCTCCTTCATTTTTTTGATTAGGCCACTCAACATGTGACTTACCCCTAAATGAAAAGCTGTTAACAATTTAGCAAGTCTCACCCCTGCACACACAAGAGACACTCCCCATAACCATCAAGTCAGTGTTCCTTCCCTACACATTAACACAAATGAACACACCACAAACCTAAGACTAGAGACATTTACTTTACAGTTTTAAAAATTAATATATCTATCACCATTATCCATGTAGTATTTCAGATCCCACATTTGGAGAAGATACTATACAACCCAGCCCATCTGAAGATTTGGGCAAATCTGCCAGGAATGTATGAGAAAGCCCGGCAATGTGCCATACACATTAGGAGCTCTCTACCTTCCAGAGAGGGTATCCAGAGCAGGGCTGTGCATTTTCAGAGCAGAAATAAAACACACAGCTTAAAATCTTATGGACTAATAACTTTTCATAGAGCAAAAGGCAGAGTTTTGTTTTAACCCATTTTAATGTTACAGTATAGTCAGTGAGGAAAACGGAATAGTCATCTGTACTTTGACACATCTGGCTAGCCTGAAAGGAATACTTAAGGTTTTTACAGAAAATCTACCATAAAAACAAGTCCTTTATACTTTTATCCATCTCCTCTCTAGTTCAATCACTGGCTGCTTCTAAAACCAGCAAACTAATCCAAGGTCCAGTAACTCACTCCTCACCCTGCCGCTTTCCCCAAGAAAGAACGGTTTTTGCTCAAATAATCCAAAGCAACCTTATTCCTAAAGTAGCTGCCTCAGCTGAGGTGGAGACTAGTGACAGAGTATTGTTCCCTTGGGATCTAATTTTCAAAAACACTTGCCAAATGCAGAGTTGATACTTATGCAGCTGCTGGCCCCAAATGACATTTTACTTCAAACAGTGCTAGCAGACCTAAGTTTCTCATAATTACCAGTTACTAATCAACTACCAGTGTAATGAAATAAAGCCCTTCCCAGAAACAAACAAGACCAAAGCTTGCTTTTTCGTTGATTGGTTGGCTGGTTGAAGTTCACACAGCAAAAAACCTTAAGATAGCTGGAATGTGGCCTATGAGAGAGCAATCCAGGGTAGACTGAAAACAATGTTGTTTCAGAGTTCTTAGGTCAAAAATTTCCCCTTTATCAATCTAAGGATGGATTTGTTGCCCGGTCCTTGAATTATACATTTACCTAAACTCAAGAGATCAATTTTACCAACTCTAAAGTGCAAAACCCACCCAGGTTTCACATGGTTTGCCCAGGCATTCATCCACCTGGGTCTCTAATTCAAATTTATATGACAATTATTAAGCAAGAAGTTTTGATTGAATTTGTAATGTTATCAAGGAAGATTTATAATCTAAAACACAATTCTACCAATAATAAACACAAAATGACAAAAGTGGCTAAAAAACAGCAATAGCCCAGAGTTCCCAGAGAAGCTGAGATACAGAACTATTACCTTTCTTACCTATCTATTTCCCTTTAAAAAAAAGAAACTTTTAAGTTCGGGAAGGGTTTGGCTAAACACATTTTAAAATAATTCTACCAAAAACAAACAAAAAAAAACAGGCATGTAGATCACTTGTTTCAAGAATGGTTTTATACAGGTGTTTCACAATACATATTTGGATTTGTTTTACAAGACAGAATTAGATCCTTAGTGATATAGTGAACAATGTACTGCTATAGTATAGTTTAAAAAAAAAATCTCAATTACCATTAGCAAAATTCATAATCTATCCCACTGTCTTCAAATTCAACTTTGTCAGCATTTCAATCAGCAGTTTTACTCTTTCCAGCATTCGGTCCTCCCTTTTCAAAAACACTTGAGTATCATTAAATTTCGTTGTCTGAATATGTACAGATAATCATTATTCTCATTTAGTAAGTAATACCTAAAATAGTTCTCATCTTGGGTAGCCAAAGGGATGAAATGTTTTATAAAACATGCAACATTATCTGATATTTTAAGTTCTGATGTTTAAAAATCATATGCATTAATAATGGAACCAAGTAAATACCAAGTATCACAGCTATTCCTCAGACTGTCAAATAAGCAGGCCTTGAAGTCTGAAAAATACAGGGTCTGATCTGAGCTGTGAAAAAGGTGTGATCCACCCACCTGGAGGATGAGCATTTTCTCTTTCAGGCCATGAGTTGCCAAGAGCAAGGTACACTAGTTCCTTGATTCACACCAGGAAGATCAAGGCCAGCAATTTTCAAATTAGGGATCAAATACCTCCCTTTAGACCATCCTAAAAACCTTTCTTGTAAAAATCCCAGGTTAGGAAAACAGAAGTAGATCACTATGGCAGAATTCACCATCAAAACATTCCTGACTGAAGCAAGAAGACACGCAAAGTGTAACTACAGCAACAGTACAAGTATCCTGAATCCTTGGGGGAATAGGTTTTGAAAGTCCCCCATCCATTCCCTCCCATCCTTCAGAGTATCTCATTTCATGGGGTATCTCTTATTTTATTTAAGGCCCTAGGTGCGGATTTTGGCTTGGTCACTATCTTTTATACTGATCCAGCTGCAACCTTTTTCTTAGACTTCCCAAAGCAATATCCATACATAAAACGTTAACCGAAATCTTGTTGTATTTTAAGTTTATATCTGATGTTGCTACACCAATATAATGCTTTTCATGAAAGAAAAAAAGCTGCAGGTCTTCACTTACAGTACCATGCACTATGAGTAGCTAAGGCATTCATTTGGCACTAGAGAAAAAAATACAGATATAGCTAATTTTACTTATCATTTTTAACATTGAAAGAAATAGGTATGTACCCTTGAATTTCTGTGATGCTTAAAGATAATCACAGAATATTCTTTTAGTCTGACAGTCAAAATGTTGCCATTAAAACAAAACCAAAACCATAAAGACCTCTGTACAGCCTGTTGGAATAAGTGACATTTTCTGGTTCCAAAATTTGCTGCCCTCAGACAGAAATAACTTTCAAAATGGCAATGAGAATTACTTTCATCATCAAAAACATTGAATCTATAACACTCTAGTGATTTTTCTACTTCTTATCACAGACTAAATGAAGAAAGTGAAAAAAATATCCCAGTTCCTTTTCACCTGTCATAAAAACCTTAGGGAGGCACAAATAATGCCCTCTGGAAAAGTAGTTTTCAATTTGAAAAGATACCACACAAGAAGAAAGGGAGAAGGGGACAAAAACAGAATGTATAATGTATAACTATAATGTGACAACTTGTTTCATAGGAGAAAACACAGCAATCATAATTTTTACATGTCTGTGAGTTGAGTCAAATGCTGACTGCTGGAATTTAGATTAATCACCTCAAAACAGAGATGTCTATGCATTTTAGAATCCAAGCCCAAAGGCACACAGTCCATCAACATTCTCTGAAAAGTTGTTTAAGATAACTACTTTGTATGTATCACCGAGCATAATTCAACAATTTCAATGGAATTAACTTTATGAATTTTTAACTATTATTAAGTTAGCACATTTTTCAGATTAATATGCAGCTATACTTTTTAAAAACCCTCCCGATGTTATAATGTGTTGTATCATTTCACATAAATAATGGAAGAGTGAAAACTACCTATCGCAGTTTGGCATGTGCAGAACACCTGGATATTCCATTACTTTTAATGCTTCTTTCAGTTGTTTTTCTTCATGAAATCCTCAAAACTGCTACAAAGGCTAACATGCTGACACAGGCTTAACAGAAATGCTTTTCTAGGCAATTTTGGTAAAACATTTATCAACTTTAAATCATAAATGTCCCTTGTTACATAAACAAAACATTTTATATTCATTCCTTTAAAAAAAGAAAAAAATAGCTAAGTGACCAATATCCAAACACCTTAAGATTATAGTTACACCTAAACAATGTGGCTTTGTTTAAAGTGTATCTGAAATCAATAACCATATGAGGCAAGAAGAGCAAATACAAAACTAAGGAAGGATAAGTAGGGAGGAAGGGTAGCGGAAAGAAAAGTAGAATTTATGAACACATAATTCTATTGTCTGTGATTAAAGTCCTTTACTTTTTAGCACCACATTAAACGATTTTACATATCCAGTCACTTAATGAAATCCAACAAACTCTTCAAGAGTTCTGGGGATCTGGTCTTGGTAGTTAATGTCATTAGCCCGAACTGCCCGGGCAGCCAGGCACTTGAGACTCATCTTCATTTGAGTTTTAAGTAGTATTTCTGATACCCCAGTTGTACTTTTGTCTAGTGGAGTTTTATTCTGTTTATTTGTCATGTCAGTGTGAGCGCCGGCTTCAACTAGACTAATGATGATAGAGTGCAAGGTCAAAAAATCACTGATGGGCCTGTTGTACTGAACAATAATGTGGAGGGCACTGTTCCCCTCATTGTCCACAGCGTTCACCTCAGCACCGCAGTCCAGCAGGAGCTTTGTGACGAGCGCGTTTGGGAAGCTGCAGACGTCATTGGTGTGGAAATCATCAACTGGGGTATTTGAGTTGACAGCTAGATGCAGCAGGGTGAAACCTTCACGAGTTCTGGGGTCAAGGTGAATCAGGTTGTAGATCTGCTTGTTAATTTTGCACTGATCTTCTTCACTGCACTGTGTTTTAGTGGAGATGCACACTAAATACAGAAAGGTATAGAGGTTACATTCATAATTGTCCATAGCACTGTGGACATCAGCATCTGGAATATTTTTTACTCTGTTCATACTCTGTTCTATTTCCAAAACACTGCATCTCAAAACACATTCTATGTCTGGGGCCTTCACAGTTTCATTTAAATGTATCATCTGTGAAAAAACTTGGGCAAATCGAAGAAGATCCTTATGGGTATTTCTGTTACCTTTCTGTCTGAGGTGCAGGGCATGAAGCCACAACTTAATACACTGTTCAAATTCCATGTTATCTGCATAAACAGCTCCCCTGTAAATGATGGGATGGGAAACATCAATGTTGTCAGCACCTAAAATCCGTTCCCGAACTATAAGGCCTTCCATATGAAGAGCATCTCTGTCTTGCCGAATGGATTCCAGTTCCTGAGGATTTCTACATTCAGTTCTATTCCCATAAGCATGGATTGGTGGGAGAACCTCTTTCTCAAGAATGTTATCACCATCTTGAAACCTCTCCAACATAGCTAAATATAAATAGTGATATGTCTTCATGATGTCGTAGTTCTCACGATCATTTGCAAAGGAGGCACCCAAGAGCTCCAAAGCTTCAATCCGACTTCTCCGGTCACAATCAGCATGAGAGAGCAATAGTTCAACAACATCAGCTTTACAGCTTTCAGCAGCTACTTTTAATGGTGTCATCCCATGGCCATTCACTACTATAGCAGCACGCCATTTTATCAGCTCCTTCACAATATCTATGTGCCCAGCTTCAGCTGCAAAATGCAATGCTGTGGCTCCACAATGTGCTTTAGCATTCGGATCAGCACGTTGTTCTAAAAGATATCTGACCACATCAGTGTGTCCCTTATAGGCTGCAATCATTAGGCAAGTGTTGTCATACTTGTTGGCAATGCTGATGTTGGCATTATTTTCGACCAAGTATTTCACAATGTCCAATCTGCCATCAAAGCATGCTGCCCGCAGCGGGGTTGAGTTAGTTACTGTGGTGTGGTTCACGTTGGCTCCATGACTGACTAGAAGTTTAACAACTTCAAAATGTCCTGCTCCTGCGGCACACCAAAGAGCAGTGGCACCATCAATGACATACCTGTTCATGAAGAGAACAAACAGTCAGCAAACAGAGGCCACCCGCCCTGACACAGATTTAAAGGATGCAATCAGTTACACTGATCCAAAACCTCACTCTACAGAGCGTTAGTTAAACATTGGTTTTGGTGAAAATAAAATCAGGTAATTTAAGTAAAGCACTCAACATAGTACTGGTATCTAGTATGAGCTCAATAAATGTGAGCGATTATTAGTATTTCCACAGTATAAAAACTTAAAGAAAAAATAAAAAGAGTCACCAACTTCCTACTAGCAGAAGTACATAAATTTCAGAAAACAGAGGAAATACACGGAGTTCTGTAACTTCTTTACCACCAAGCTGATTCCCTGGCTCTTAGAGGAGCACAGAATGTTCCTCTCTCCCAGCACCCCTAGGTACTACAGTTCCTCTCAGTACATCAGTAAGAAAGCCACCACAATCTCTGTGTCAATGTCCTTAGACGCTGCATTAAGAAGAAAAGTATTTGAGCAGATAATTTTAACTAGGATTATCTAAACTAGTAAGTATGTACATACTCTACTAAAGCAATGAGAATGAAATAATTACTGCTCCTTACAATATGAATGATACAACACAGGTCAAATTATATATCCTATGAAGTAAAAAAAAGTACAATCCACTTGGTATAAAAAATATCATAGTTCAACCCTAACTGTCAATACTGTCTATCACTTCTGCTGACAATAAAAGCCACACTTTATAAACATCCAAGCAATTACTTCTTCAGTTTCAAATAATGAAGAAAAATGTCTATAAGTAAAAGCATTCTCGGTAACAGCTACCTATAGGGTTATCTATAGGGGACAGTGTAGGATTGATTCAGAAGGGGCTTAAACCTATTAGCAATGTCCTATATTTTGAACTAGGTAGTAGCTACATGGGTGGATATTTAGGGGAAAAAATTCATCAAATTGCATAAGAAAGATTTGTACATTTTACTGTATGGAAAACAGTCCTCAAAATAAACTGAATATTTCTGAAATTTCTTTTTAGAATTTCATTTTTTAAATGTCATTTAATTGTTAATTAATTTTTTAAACTACAGAGTGAATCAAGAGGGGCTTCCCTGGTCATCTAGTGGTAAAGAATCTACCTTGCAATGCAGGGACACAGGTTAGATCCCACAAGCTGCAGAGCAACAAAGCCCATGCACCATGACTACTGAGCTTATGCTCTAGAGCCCAGGAGTCCTAACTACTGAGCCCCCGGATCACGACTACGGGAAGCCCGGAAAGCTGGCCTAGAGCCCACACTCCCCAACAGGAGAAGCCACCGCAATGAGAGGCCCGCGCACCACAACTAGAGAAAGCCCACGTACAGCCACGAAGACCCAACAGGGCCAAAAGAATAAAAATAAACAAACAAATCTTAAAAAAGAATGAATCAAGAAAATAAGACATTACATCAGTTGAAATGTTTCAGTGGTTGCCAACTGTAGCTTTTGCAGACAATTTAGTTTAATTAAAATTCACTTATTACATCTTTATTGTTATGATTATAAACACAAAGTTCAAAAATGTTTTCTTAAAAAAGTTTTCTTTCAGTCAAAAAAAAATTCAATTTACAAAAACAGAAAATACCAATATCTAATAGTAAATCTAATAAAAATGTACAAGAACCTCTACTCTATACTGAAAACTATAAAACATTCCTGAGATAAATTAAAGACCTAAAGAAATAGAGAAATAGTCCATGTTTATTGTTTTGGAGATTCAAGAATGTTAAGATGTTAATTCTCTGCCAAAATAATCTACAGATTCAATGCAGTCCAAATCACAATCCCAGTAGGCATATGTGTGTGTGCATGCATCCACATGTGTGTAGAAATTGAAAGGCCAACTCTAAAATGTATAGAGAAATACAAAGGAAAGACCCAAAACAACCAACATAATCTTGAAAGAAAAGTAAAGTTGGAGGACAAAATACAGTAAGACGGTCTGTTACTGGAATAAATATAGATAAATACTAATCAAAAGAAAACAACCAAAAACCCCACCTTAGGAATAGATTCACATATACAGGAATAGAGATTAATGACAAAAGGTCCACTGAAATTCAGGTATAAAGTATGGTCTTTTTAATAAATAGTGAAGAAGCAGCCACTAGACATCTGTTTAGAAAATAATCAACCTTGACCCTACTCACAAAAATTTCAAAGTGGCAGAGAACTATAATATGCAAAACAAAACAATAAAAGCTTCTTTAAAAAAAAGACTATCTTTATGACCTTGGGGTTGATGAGTTCTTAAACATAATGCAAAAAAAAAAAAAAACCATAAGAGAAAAAATTGATTAGACTTCAAAAAATTAAAAAAATTTTGTCAGGAAAGTGACCAGCAATCCACTGGTCACTGGTCCAATCTCACTGGAGATACCTACAATCAATTATCTGACAAATCACTAAAAAAGCAAACAACTCAATTTTTTTTTAAAAATGTGGAAAGACTGAACAAGTATACTTCAAAAGTATATATTCAAACAACCAATAAACATATGAAAAGATGTTCAAGATAATTACTCAGCAAGGAAATGCAAATTAAAACCAGGAGTTACCAGGAGTGACCAATACACACCAGAACAGATGAAATTAATAATACTGACATGACAATACTAAATATTGGCCAGGATGTGAAGTAACTGAAACCCCTCCTGCTGATGGAAATTTTTAGTGGGAATATAATCTGGTTCAACCACTTTGGTGGTTGACTGCTTGAGCAAGTATTAAACATACACCAACTCTATGAGCCAACAGTCCCACCCCTTGGTATATACTTAAGAGAAATGAATGCAAATTCCACCAGAAGACATATACAAACATGTTCATACCAACATAATTCATAATAGTCAAATACTAAAGACAACCAAAATATCTGTCAATAGGATAAACTGCCATACATTCATATATGTAATATTATAAGACATTTTAAAAATACTTATACATGCAACTCAATGAATGACTCTCATAAATACTGTGTTAAACAAAAAGAAGCCACACAGAAAAAAAGAGTACACTGTATGATTCCATTTATAGGAAGTTCAAATACAGGCAGAACTAATCTATAGAGATAGAAGTCAGAATAATCATTACTTCTGGGAGGGGGAGGGAGGGGAAATGACTGAGAAAGAGCATAAAGGAAACTTTTACAGTGACATCAATGTTGTGCCTATCGATCTAGAAAGTGATTACATGGATGTAAGCAAATTAAAATTTTATAACATTTATACACTGAAGATTTATGCACCTTACCTGATGTTATACCTTAACTAAAAATAGATATAATTTAAAAACAAAAGAGGCACAAGTCAATTTAAAGAAAAAGTTTAAACAGAGAGTTAATAATTTCAATGTGTCAAGCACTGTACCAAGTAATAGAGCACATTTAATTCTCATAATAACCTTTTCCCAATAATCCTATAAAGTAGATAACCACTATTAAGCCTATTTTAAAGACATATAACTAAAAGGCTTTTATGAGATTAAAAATACAAAAATCTCTGGAAACTACATAATGCATCAAATGTAAGGAAACATAATACATGTCATTGTTCAAACATGTTTCCATTTAAAAAGCTTCCCCCCCCATCTGTTTATTAATGTAATCTATCCAAAAAATCAATACATAGTTAACATAGTTACATTTACATAGTTACAAAGTTTCCTTGCACTCCTTAAAAATAAAAAATTGTTACATGCCAGAAACATGAACCTAAACTAAATAAAACTCAAGAATTGCTGTACTAAAATAAGCATTCACATATATTATCTTTAACTTTTGCAATAACCATATAAGATAAATAGGACCCCCATTTTAAAATGGAAAAAAAAAAGACAGAAAGTGATTAAAAATTTTTTTCTGGCCTCAAATTCCCCAGTACTAATGACATAAGGGAGAAGGAAATGGCAACCCACTCCAGTACTCTCGCCTGGAAAATTCCATGGATGGAGGAGCCTGGTAGGCTACTGTCCATGGGGTCGCAAAGAGTCGGACACAACTGAGCGACTTCATTGTCTTTCTATAGTTCCTTTTGTAGAAGGAAATGGCAACCCACTCCAGTGTTCTTGCCTGGAGAATCCCATGAATGGAGGGGCCTGGTGGACTACAGTCTATGGGGTTGCAAAGAGTCGGACACAACTAAGCAACTAACACACACACACACACACACACACACACAGTGACATAAGATTAAAAGTTAAATTACAAGTACACACTTCACTTGGGCTTCCCAGGTGGTTCAGTGGTAAAGAATCTGCCTGCAATGCAGGAGACGCAGTTTCCGTCCTTGGGTCAGGAAGATCCCCTGGAGAAGAAAATGGCAACCCACTCCGGTATTCTAGCCTGGGAAATCCCATGAACAGAAGAGCCTGGTGGGCTACAGCCCATGGAGTCACAAAAGAGTTGGACATGACTTAGAAACTAAACAACGTCACTTGGTCTTTATAATCATTAATACTTTTTCCAATGTAATCTAGTAATTTCCATTTTCCCTACGGTGATATGACAGAAGCCTAGAAAAAGTTTCAATTATCTATTTTTATTGAGGCAATAAAAATTTTGAAATACTTAATGACAAAAATATTCACTGCAGAATGTCCTTTAGGAACATTACCCTTAGTAATTTTTAAATTTCTACACCTTAATCAGCATTAAACAGATTAAAGGGACTAATAATCCTAATACTTACGACATTTTTTTGTCCATAAAATACAGCTAAAGTTATAGCTGCATACTGCCTCAAAACAAAATGCCAAAAATATTTACAACAAAATGGATAGTAAATAAAAATATAATCAAATAAATGCAATATTTACTTAATGAGTATGGGAGAAGCACTATAAGACACTGATCTTTCTGGTCTAAAATTGCAAATTTTAGGGTTCCCTCATAGTTCAGTCGGTAAAGGATCTGCCTGCAATGCAGGAGACCTGGGTTCAATTCCTGGGTGGGGATGATCCCCTAGAGAAGGAAATGGCAACCCACTCCAGTATTCTTGCCTGGAGAATTCCATGGACAGAGGAGCCTGGCAGGCGATGGTCTATGGGGTCGCAAGAGTCGGACACGACTGAGTGACTAAGCACACACACACGTATTTCATCTGAAAAATCAAGAAACTTTAATCTGGCGTTTAAACTTTAAAATGTATAAGAATAACATTTCTGATCACAAACCTAAACTCATCTATTGTCTGGTTCAAGCATTTGAAATGAAAATAAAAATTCATTCAGTGTAAATGATCAACACTTTATTTTAACCAAAGTCCTAAAATCATTTATTAGATCATATATACTTCCTTGAAATATACACTGGAAATGACTTTCTAAATGAAGTCAAGTGACACTGTGCCCCTAAACCTTTCCTCTAACTGGACATTTAAGGATTTGTACTAACACTGACTTTAAAAAAGAGCACTCGACAAGATTCCCAGAGGTCCTGTTCTCCTTCCTATCCATGTCAGCAAACTTCTTCTAGGACAAGAGTTCCCCACAAACTCTGGCACTGAGCAGTCAGGCCCTCAGAACTCAAACCAGCACAGTAGTCCAAGATCACATGGCGCCTCTCCTTTGTTCTGGTCCATTTCTATAACACTCTTAACAGCTTCCCATTCTACAACTAAAGGTTCTTCTTTCATTCCTATTCATGTAACTTTTCTTCTTATCCCCTCATCTATGTCAACTTTAATCTTAACAGAGTAAGCCACAAGTAAAATAATCTCAGAATGGTGTGAGTGGGCAGAAAGGTGGCCAATTTCAATCTTCTCTTTTGTTAATTAATTTGTAAGCTCCTCAAAAGTAGAAACTTTGTATTTTTTTCTGTATCTTCCACAGTATGTGTGGGGCACAGTGCCAGGCCCATCACAGTCATTTAGTAAGTTTTTAAAAAACTACTTTGACAGAGCAGCTAATGAATCCATAATTGTAATAATACATAAACAAAAAAGACAGATTGAAGAAGGCTCAGACAAAATGTCAAATGATAGAAATGTTTGCAATTCCAGTCTCACCAGTCTGATATTTTACATGACAATCATCAAAATCTGGCCTCCACCTCACTCCAGTCTCCCACAATCTTTCTTAATTTCCCAGGCTTGAACCCCTCCCTGCAACGGCACTGAAACACTTGTCACTGCAAGTGTACCATGTTGCTGCTCCTCTTCTTCACTTTCTACTTTCTATCCTTCAAGACTGAGCTCAAAAATCACCTCAGCTGCGAAAACTTCCCTGCTTCTCCCAGGCAAAGGTGAGCACTTCCTCTTCCTGCATTCCCTCAGTAGTCCAAAAGATTCCTGTAACCCTAAATGGCATGGCATCTATTACTCATTTTCGTCAATCTTTCACCTCCCCACCGCACCTTAATCCCTCCCACCCAAGGCCACCTGAATGTCTTCCTGGGAACCGTATGTTACTCATCTCTGCATACCCAATCCCTACTATAGAGCCTGGCACACAGTAGGTGTTCAAAAAATGTTTGCTTACGGAACTTAATTTCACTGGTCAGTGCAAAATATGGGGCAAGATAAGCCACTATGAGGGCTCAATGCTACATTCCTTGTCATTTCAGGTTCTCTTAATTGCCACTTCAAAATACCTCTCTCTTTGACAGTTAAGAAAGATAAGCAAAGCCTTTTCAAATGCTACAGAAAAAACTATTTTTTCTTGCCACTATTCTCTCCTCATCAAAACAGGCCTCACCAATCTCCTTAGCAGCAGTGGAACCAGCAGCTGTTACTGCAGAGATTCATAGCTCAGTGGATGCTTGTGCTTATACAACTGGAATGGTGCTTGAAGTTCAGAGGTCATTCTACTTCACTCCTCCTCTGTGTATAGAAAGGCTGTGGGAATGCAGTTACAAAAAGGACACAGGAGCCAGTAAAGGAAAACAAACAAGAATCACGTTGCCATCTTTGGTTAATATGATAAAGACCAAAAAAAAAATAAATAAAGACCATCTCCTTAATGTCTAGAGAGGTGGTACTAGAGATTAACCACCACCCATGGGCTATCATTTCAGTAAAACGTAATACTCTGAAATATTTTCCTCTCATCTGAAACAGAAGAAAAAGCTCTTCTTATCTCAACTTAAAAAAAGAATCAAAATTCAACAATGCCCTAGTCATCTCAAAGAAGAGTTGTTTTTTTCAATCAGGTTTTATCCAAGCAGTATTCAATTATCAAAACTAAAGATACATATCTTTACGCTTGGATCACATCTACCTCAAAAGAAGAGAACGCTAGAAGAGCTTACCTACTGGCACAAGTCAACAAAAACAAATGCAATCAACGAAGAAAAATCTTCATGAAGTTGTAATCTGTAAAACAGGTTATAACGATCCACACAGAAAAGATAATGTCAAACCTGACAATTCTGCATTCAACAATATGACACCTCAAAATATGTACAATTCAACCTAAGTGGCAAATTTTAACTATGACAATATGCATTTTTGAACTCCCCACCTGGAATAACAGTAAATTATCAAGCTTCCCCAGAAGATGACGGGATAACATTAATTTAAAAATGGCATAATCTTCTCTCACACCAGGTCCTATGCCATTTTCGCAGCCAACATATCTCTTCCCAGCAATGTGTAAGTCAGAATCATGTCTAGGTAAGTCTGGCTGCGTGACAATCCCGCAAGACGCTGAAGCTGCTGCTGGTTATAGGGGCTTATTTTGACATTAAGGTGCCATAACCCACTAAGGGCTTTATCAGACACTCGAAGGGCTAAAAATTGGGCGGTCAAATAATTCATCAATCAGAGGTTTCCAATGTTAATTGCTGACCTGGTTAATTTCTGATCTCGGTTACAACCTCAGTCCTGACAGAGGGAAAACCTGAAACGCTGCTACGACCTCCATACTGCTTGTTCATACACTATCCAGCAGAGCGTTGGTTTTGCCTGCGTGCTCAGTTGTGTCCAACTATTTGCGACCCCATTCACTGGAGCCCGCCAGGGTCCTCTGTCCATGGGATTTCCCAAGCAAGAATACTGGAGAATACCTATTAGATATTAAGACAGAGGGTGTGGCTATTTACCTATAGAGGGAATAAGGGGTAGCGGCCGATAAGGATGGGCAGCAAAACACGGAACGGGGTATCCGCCCTAGAAGATGAAGTGGTTATTGATGCTGCAGGTCAGGAGATACAAAAACGGGAGAAGCGACACCTCCATGAAGTGAAACCGTGGGACGAGAAGATCCATGAAGTGGTAGGTTCGCACGCGTTAGAGAGGAGGCAGGAGCTGGGATGTACCTACCCATCGAAGCGGACGGTGCCAGTCTGCTGAGTCTGCACCCGGTAATGTTCTAACAGCAAGCGCACCACCTTAGCGTGCCCATTGCGAGCTGCGATGATGAGCGGCGTGGAGCGCTGCCCTCCCTGCTGGCTGACATAGCCAAGCAAATAGCGGATGTCGCTTTCAGACCGGTTGAGAAGCAAGGCGGCCAGAGTCAGCACCTTGCCCTCGCTGGCCGCCTTGTATACATAGCCAGCCAGGCCCTCCATGGCCGCCGCCAACTCCAACACCCGTTTGGTCGCCACTGCTGCTGCTGCCTTGCGCCCCCGGAGGCCGCGTTCGCCAGCGCTTGAAAACTGGGCCCTCACAGCCCATTCAACAGGGCGCCGCCGCCGCCGCCGCCGCCGCCGCCGCGCCCAGGCAGCAGCGCGGCCCGGGGAGGGCTGAGACGCAGAGTGGCCGAATGCCGCGGGGGGCAGGTCTGCGATCCAGCCCGGGCAGGGAGGAGGGCGGTCAGGGCCGCCCCCAAGGCCCCAGGCGCCGGCCCTGGGCCGAGGGGATCTCCATGGCGGCCGCCGCCCCGGGCCTCAGGCCGGACCCCTCCTTCCTGCGGGCTGCGACAGGCGCGTGCCCGAGCTACGGGTCGCCGGTGAAATCCCAAGAGGGCCGCGCGCGCCCCGGATCGCGAAGGACGGCCGCGTTTCACCCGACCCGGCCCGTCAGGCCTAGGGCCTGAAACTGCCTCGTCCTCCGCCCCCGCTCTCCGCCCTACCCAGGAAACCCGCAGGTCCTAGCCCACTGGAGCTCAGAAACGCCAGGCGCTGTCGAAGGTTTCAGAGGTCTACGCCAGGGAAGGCCCTCGGAGCGAGACGGAACGCTGCGGCGCCAGCAGCCCCTGGGCTCGGGACAGGGAGGAAGGCGGGCCTCTGCAGACTGGGCCGAGAGGGGGAGGGTGCGACCAGGGGACGGTTAAGTGGGGTGTCTCTTCCAAAGCCTACCGGCTGGCAAACAAGGCCCAATGAAGAAAGGTTCTGCTACGCGAAGGCGGCCCGTACCCAGTTCGGCCCTGATGTCCTCATTGCCCTTGCTGCTCGGAGCTTCCAACTCGCCCCCGTTAGGCCCTACGGGTCCCTAGCCAGGGAGTGGTACAGAGTGAGGCCGCTGAACCGTTACTACTGGGGGGTGGGGGGGCGCGACTCGGGGGGGCCCGACTCGGGGGGGCCCTTTCCTTTTTGCCATAGACGTTATGGGACCCTTCGCCCAATTGGGGCCCGGGGAGGCGGGTAAGCGGACCCAGCAGTGTCCACTTTGAGACCAGGGCGATGTCTCTGAGCCTTACAAATAAGGGAGGACTTTGGGTGTCTTGGGTGTCGGCACGAGGCTTTGAGAAGGGACTGGAAGTCCGGCCTGTCCTCCCTGGAGAGGAGGATGAAATGTGTGAAAACGGTCGGGGGAGACGGAGCAAAAAAGGGCTCACCCTGGAAGGAGGGCACGGCCTGTGTTCCCACAGACCAGGACTCTCATCCTGAGCCTGATGGAGCCTTCAGTTTTCTCCCATATCTCACAAGATTGTTAGGATTTGAAAAGATCATTAATCCATCGAATATTAGAGGTCTACTGTGTGCCAGGCTCTGCTTGGCTCTATGGATTCAGTGATAGACCAGATGAACACAGTGCCTCTTCAGGGATTCTGTTGTTGTGAAGAAAACAGACAATAAAGTAAACAAATAATAGATAAGACTGGCTGAGTTCTATCACTATGATTTGCTGTGAAACAAGTGAAATAGAGTGATGGTGAGTCGGTGCTAGTTTAGTGTGTGTGGTCAGATAAGACCTCCATGACAGGTAAGGAGAACAGGGGGTATTTTAGGCAGAGGGAAAGGGAGTACAAATGCCCCAAGGGGGAACAGGCTTGGTGAGTTCAGAAACAAAGGTAAGAGTGGCTTCAAAAAAAAAAAGAGTGGCTTCAGCAGAGTAAGCCATAGGAGAGCAATAGGAGATGAAAGTGGGGAGCAGGTCTTGTTAGGCCCCAATTACCCATGGTAAGTTTAAATTCTTCTCAAATGTGATGGGGGCATTTGAGTAGTTTTAAACAGAAAAGTGACAAGATACGGTTTATATTCTTTAAAAGATCAGTCTCTAGTAGGCAGGAGGCAAGGCAGGAAGGCCCCTTAAGAGGAAAGGTTTGGGACTAGGATGGTAGGAGTGGAGGTGATGAAGCTGGGGGGGGGGCAGTCACAAAAAGTCCAAGTTCAATATGGAGGTCACTCCCTCCACACACACACAAAGGATAGTATCTACACCACCACCCCTAAAACACAAAAGACAATATCTAACATAGAGGAAGAGAAAATCCATTTATTTGGTCCCAAGGGACCAGGCTGGGCTCAGTTCACATAAATTATTGCATGTGAACCCCACTATTCCAATACTAGTTTGAAGGCCTCATCTTAGTTGCAGAGCTATTGTTGGGGGTTTGGGCCACTGCTCAAATTTTCTCTTCCACTCTACAGCACAACTTTACCTATTTTCAGATCTCTATACTTTTTTTTCCCATGTTAAGCAAAAACAACATTGGAAATAAAGTCTCTGAAGTAGCTGGTGGAAAAGAAGAGGAAGCTGGTTGTTCTCATTCTGGGGCTTCAAGATTGGAAAAAAATTCCAGTTCTTGACAGGCTGACCCAGGCTTTTTGGCCTCTGGGACAAATGTGGGATGTGGGACCTGGGGACTCCCTTCCAACCGATTTCATTCCCAGGCTCTGTATAGAAATGCCAGGCTCCTCCGATTCGCTCCCCCCGACCTCTCTCTGTCTCCCTCCCTTCTTCTCTCTCTGTGTAGCCTTTTTCCCTGCATCATTCTTTTCAAACTCAACTTTTTGAAGGTGATTCAGACGCAAGGCCCTTCTTCCCCTTGGTTTCATTTTCAGAAGGAGACATGATTCATCCAACTATTTATTCATTGCTGAATCAGAAACTTTCTTCTTCCTCCTCTTGCCCTTTTGAGATGAAGTAGGGTTCTTCCTGGTGCTCACACCTCACTTTGGTGGTAGAACTGGATGAATGCTAGGAGGGGTGGCTAAACCAAGAGTCATGAGAAGGGCATAGAACTTGCACTTCAGGGCCTCCACCCCCAGATGGGAATATCCTTCTGCTCCAGCAGCCCACGGTCAGGAGCCTTCTTTGTTTATCACCATTGCCTAGTGTAAGGCTCTGGGCTCCCTGCGTTGCTCAATAGCCATTAACTGACTGGAGACTATTTGGTTGCCTGTATTTACCTGGGCTTGGAGGATGATGTTTCTCTGGTCAGGTTGTGCAAATTGGAGAGAAGATGTATAAACAGAACAAGCCTGCTTTTCCAAAGGCCAGTGCTCAGAAATAGCACCTTGTTTTTCTGACCTATTCCCTTCCACTTTGACAGAAAACCACCACTGAGCAAATGATCAGTAATAAAATATAACTGAAAATAGTTGTATCCAGATGGAGATTGATTTGCTGGTGACAGCAAACTGCAGCCTTCTACTGGACAAAAGACCACCAACCTCCAGCACTTTGCTTTCTGGGGATTGGAGGTGCCTGTGAGCAGAATTAGCTGTACTTTCCATAGGAACATTCGCTTTTCCAAGCCAGGTTGGCCCAGCCTACAGCTCCAAGTCAGTGATGTTTCTCAGATTTTGTTTAATGTGCATTCAAAATGTCATTTTTCAAGCACCAGTAAAGATACTTGTTTTAGTCCTGTAAGTCTCCCACATACTCTAATGGAAGAGGATAACTTTGGGTATCGAATAGATCTGGGTTGGACTCCCTTCTCTGAACATTAGCCATGGCCTTGGGCAAGTTTCTTCAACTGTACTATGGAGGTAATACTTTCTTTGTAGGGCTAGTGTGATGCTGATAAGCAAGCTCCTTCACCTATCCTCATTCTGTGAAGGAGTGCCCATCAGTACACATGTTTCTCTTCTCCCCTAGCTCCCACCCCTATCATACTTCCATTGTGCCATTAACCTGTTTAAGAAAGGACTTCTGGGACTTCCCTGGAAGTCTAGTGGTTAAGACTCTGCACTCCATAACAGCAGGGGGCATAGGTTCCATTCCTGGTCAGGGAGCTAAGATCCTGCATGCTGTGTGGCATGGCCAAAAAAAGAAAAAGGAATTTCCAGCCCATCTGCATTTTTCCTACAGGCATGTGTCTGTGTCTGGACACATATGGAGAGCCCATATGCAAGGGGCTAGGGAGAGTAATTGACAAGAGGTTGGAAAGTTCAACAGAACCACCAAAGAAAGATATCAGAAATCAATGACAACCAAGAAACCACTGATGACCAGCCTCTATTAGCTCATTTTCAGAGGAAAATATTGACCCACTAGCCTTTGTCTCCTCGTCCTCTGTCTCCCAGCCTTCCCCGAAAAGCAGATACAATAATTGTCAAAGACCTAATGTGGAGGAGGGGGCAGCTGGTCTGTCTGTATCATTTCCCAACCCAGTTCACCCCTCCTGGTATAAGTTTACCAGGAAAGTAGACTGAAATAGGGGCTTCCTTGGTGGCTCAGATGATAAAGAATCTGCCTGCAATGCAAGAGACCCAGGTTCAATCCCTGGGTAAGGAAGATTCCCTGGAAAAGGCAATGGCAACCCACTCCAGTATTCTGCCTAGAAAATTCCATTGGCGGAGTGAGCTTGGCAGGCTGCAGTCCATGGGGTCACAAAGAGTAAGACACGACTGAGAGAGTTTACACTACACTGCTACAACAGACGGAAATAGACACAAGTCTTCTTTCTTCTAACCTCGTTCCTCCCTGAAGAGTGGGACCTCCCAGTCAGGTACCCTGGGATTATAACAACAGAAGTAACCGTAGTGAGCTCATACTAAATGCTTACTGCGTGCCAGGTATCACAGTAAATACTGTGTGCAGATTAGCATGCTAAAGTTGTGCAAGCCTCGGAGGGCCAGGCCACTGTTATCATCCTCATTCTTCAGGTGAGATGGCGATATTGTATAACTTGCTCATGGCCTCATAACTAGAGTGTGGTAGGATGTCAGGATTTGGATGTCAGCCGTTTGATCCCCACCCACTGACCCTGCTACCAGCCTTCTGTTCCCTCTTTCTCCCCGCTCTGAGTGGCTCTCATCTAGCCTGTTCTCTGTGGCTAGGATCTCGGCTAGAGGTCCCCAAGGCTTTCTATGGTCCTGATCACTTTGCCTGAGCCTAGGTGCCAATGAGTTAATCTGATCATCCATTCATTGCTGATGGGGGAATGCTAGTGGAAACT